GTTTATAAGTCATGACTGAAAATACCGTTGGTTGGTTTGGTGTGAGAGAAAAATACTATTCATTGACCGATAAACCATGGCTTATAAGCCACATACGATGAGCCAACGTTATTTGATCATGTAATTTCTGCAGGTACACAGTGATGTCCCTGTCATAATTTATGGGCACATGACTGTCTCTCTCTGTTTACAATAAACAGAGCATGAGAGGGGTGTCAATGGAAGGAAATGATGCATGCACTTGGTGTTGGTTGGTCCCAAGCTGACCCGGCATACAAAACAAAAACAAGTTGCGGATGACGAGGAGTGCAGGCTACTGCTTTCTCCTTCCCAGTTCCACTCTTGTGAGAGCTTGGCTTCCCAGATTCTGCTGCGTGCTTTCTGCTTTGGCTTTTGTTTTCTTCTCCGGAGTTTATCTGATGCGCCACGCCAAATTGGCAATAGGAATACGTAGAGTAGCCGGCGAAAGGGACTGATGGCGCTGTCGCCTATCATGTGAGCATCATCATATCTTGTTTACTCTGTTTGCCAAGCAACCATGTTGCTGCACCAGGACAAAATCACCACTTCTTTGTTTGTGTCCTCTTCCTTATTGTAGGGTCTGGCTTTGGCTCCTTGTTACTACTACGGTATAGAGGATCAGAGCTGTTGAAACTACAAATAGTGACTTCATCGACTTATAGTTTCTTTTGAGAAAAAAGAGAGATAAAAACAGATCCTTACTTGATTATATAGCTATATAGTGCATGAAAGAGTCGGAATCAAGCGGAGCTTCAGCAAACGGACCCTACGTACTACACTTCTACGCACAACAGCATCAGTATCTTTTAATCTGTCTTTGGATTTTAGCTGGGCCTTGTCCCCAAGAACAGGCTGAGGCAGGCAGGCTCCAGTCCAGAATCCAGATGGCAGTTCTCGGCACGGCACGTCGGCGGCCATGGAATCTGGCCAGCTTCGTCGTGGTTTGTGAGCTGTATGGCCTTGGTTTGGAGTTGGGGTCGGCCAAATGCAGTGTTGCTTTCACGATTCATGACACATTGCTTTCAAGCTATGCAACGTATACAGACTGATGCATGTTGAATGGCGACCGACCTGCTGATTTGTCTGTACTCTGAAGATGACTACTAGATGTATAATGTTGTGCTGATTTGCTGCCAATGGAGTAGTACTTCACACTATTTCAGGCATGGCTGCTGCCCTCAAGTTCAGATGGCAGGCCTGCTTTCAGGCATGGCTGCTGCCTTCAAATTCAGATAGCAGGCCTGCCATTTGTTTCTCCACTGCAGCACGTCTGGAAAATTCAAGCATCCAAGGAACCACCCAGTTCGCTTCCTTGAAAAAACAAGCCGAAACACTGTTCCATCTGATTTGTTGTGAGAGAAAAACACTGCTCTGGCTGAAAAACAAGCCGAAAAATATGGATTATAAGAGAAGCAAACAGAGTAACAAGCATATGATAGGTGACAGCGCCATCAGGCTTGCAAGTCTGGTGAACCTCCCGGTTTATATGGATTGTGATTGTGACTACCAGTGATTCTCCAGAAGCTGAAGGCGACGAGTTCAGTCCTGATTTCTATGTTTTTAGTCCCTGCGCATTCTTGCTTGGGTCTGTTCCAATTCTACAAGTAGTTAATGGCTTGCAAGTCTGGTGAACCTCCCGGTTTATATGGATTGTGATTGTGACTACCAGTGATTCTCCAGAAGCTGAAGGCGACGAGTTCAGTCCTGATTTCTCTGTTTTTAGTCCCTGCGCATTCTTGCTTGGGTCTGTTCCAATTCTAAAAAGGACGTACCCAGTGCAGAGAGCCCCCGCTCTGTGCGGGGTCTAAAGAGAAGAAGGGTGTCAGTGGCAAGCTTTACCCTCGCCTGTGCAATGCGAGGAGACCGTGACTCGAACCCAGGACCTTCCAATCACAGGCGGTAAGACTCTACCGCTTGCACCAGGCCCGCCCTTCGGTCTGTTCCAATTCTACAAGTAGTTAATCTTACTAGCCACCTGCGCATGTCTAGCGTCGCAAGGATTCACATCATCGCCCATATGGATTAGTGATTCTCCAGAAGCTGAAGGCGACAAGTTCAATCTTCCATCTGATCGCTCTGTTTTTAGTCTCTGCGCATTCTTGCTTGGGTCTGTGCCAATTCTACAGGTAGCTAATCTTACTAGCCAGATGCGCATGTCTATCGTCGCAAGAATTCACCGCATGTCTATCGTCGCAAGAATTCACATCATCGCCCATGATATGCAATTGTACGCGGCCTCACTATCTGTGTATTACTCCTGAATTTCATGAATGGCGATTGCGAAAGCATACCTAGCACGTACTATAGCCATTATCTAATTAGGAAAATCAGGATTGTGATTGTGGCACGGGAGAAAGAATTGTGAGAAGAAAGTACGGATCACGTACGATGGCCGCTGTCATGGCACAAAAAGAAAGACGGTAGTGATGATGGCAGGACTACTCATCTCTTGCCATCCTTGTTTTAGAGAGATGATGATCCTCAAAATTTCAATATTTTCACCGTTTTGGCAAAAAAGAAAGCTGTTGGTGCCATTTTGGCCTTTTACTCGCTTGTGAAACCTCAAAGACAAATACCACTGTTTCCGCAGAATGACTACGGTAGGAAGACAGGAAAATAGGATTTTAGAGGCATTTGTTGTATTATATCCCAAATATAAATCATAGAATAGGTAATATATGCACGATATCAATGCTAATGAAATAAATCATGTTATTCTCATAAATTAACATACACATAAAAAGGGAGTATTATTGGAATGAATAAAATAAACGGTAACAGAATGGTTAGAAATTTGTAACCTTGAGTGGGATGGTGGAGGAGTACCAACGGTGCTGTTATTTAGATTTATTATTTAGATCTGACCGAGTCTTGTTGATGTATTCGACCTTAGCTGATACTACAACGTAGCAACTTGACTCAAGCTATTCACCCTCGACTTCCAAAAACCTTATTCGCCTTCTTTCTGCCCCAGAGGACTCTTTCGGCCGTCGAGATGGAATAGACTATGGTGGTGGCACAATAGATAGAGAGAAAGAAAAAAAATCTAATTGTCTACCTTAATAAGAATTCCCAAACTTATAGAGCTCCTCATATCGTATTTCTAGTGTACCTTAATCAAGAGGGGTTGGTATATATATAGAGAGAAGAACCATTACATTCACATTAACTAGCAATATGGTACTAATTGATATCGTATATTTCACCTTTACTCATGGTTTAAATATTAAAGCCCATTATAATACACAAGTAAATATGGCCATTATAATACACAAGTAAACTTACATGGTCCAGCCTATATATAAACTCTAACGATAACGATAGCATGTCAATATTTGCCACTATATTGCCAGAATCTACCATTCGGCCAAAGTTTAAGCAGGCCAAGTAATAAAAGAAGATCAGTAATCTAACACCGAAAAGTGGGTGAAATTACAATGGTACAAATTCCTGCTTCCGAAAAGATCACCAATATTTGTTCCGGAGCTCACCAAATTTCTTGATATGAGCTGCAACACGTCTTCTTGTTAGAGAGACACCGGTCATCCAGATTCTGTTCTTAAACATGCACACATTTGAATTTGGTCACCGTTTGGTGGCCATATCCTTCTAAAACCTATATGCCTCACGAGATACAGTAGGAAAAAAAATCTTAGAAATTCTTACAAAAATCAAAAGACATAAGGTCAATGATTTGGTACACTCTAGTCGTTATTGACAATAATAACCGCTAGATTTCTAAAAATTATCACATCGGCCATTAAGAAAACACTCTAAAATAACCATCTAAATTATCCACCTATATCATTATGAAACATTTCCATCTAACCATCTCCGTTATTAAAAATAATAAAAGTAACCTCCGCACATATGCCATTATCAAAATTAATATCTAACAAGTTTTAAATTTGCATCTAAACTACACACTTCATCCATTGTAAAAAAAAAATAACCATTAAATTTGTATCTAAATTACCTACTCCTAATTATGAAGAAATAACCAAAAGCACTTCTATGTACACTTCTAAATACAAAATCATGTCATTATTATTATTTTTCAAAAACTAATTTAACGTATGCAGCGTCATAGCTATGAAAATATATTAGGAGGGGTTCACAGGTCAGTTGGGCCTTAGGATCGAGTTGGGTGTCATCGTATGTGCTTGACAAAAACACTTTCCCACATTGGATCCAGGCCACACGATGCTACAGCCAGGGTTTTCAATTTCGATATTAGAATTTTTTTCGATGACCCCTAAAAATATCGAAATCCAGTTGAAATTTCACTAATTGTTTTTGAACCCTAGCTATAGCATACGTTTCAACACACTGCGATAGGTTTCCTAGCAACTCCCCGTCCCCAAACAACTACAAATTTATATTTGAACCAAGTCTATTTTTTTTTTTAACTTTGACTAAGTTATAGAAAGTTGTATTAACATTTATTTTAAAAATAGGGTTATTATGAATTCCCTGATTACTTGATGGTACTTGTTCAGTATCATAAATGTTAGTATTGTTTATGTATTTATTTAGACTTAAAACTGTTTAACTCCTCAAAATAAATGATTGTAATTTCTTCGTGAAGGATGAAGTAGTTAATAATACATGGTCTGATCATTTCTGCTGGTCGATAATAATAATAATAATATTTACATGCCTAGCTTGAGTGAAACAGCTGCATCAGCAAATAAAACAAGTTTATTTTAATCTCTGTTGCAGAAAATCCTGTTAGATTCAAATGCTCTCCTCAAATGGAATCAGTCAAGAGCATCCTATTTGCTGATGCCAACAGGTAATGATACTAATAATAACTAGCCTTTGGCGAATTCACTGATGCTTTAATCTCTCTGTGGTATCCGTATACCACGGTTTGCTGCGTTTCAGCATGAATATTGAACAGACGAAGTGCGTTTCGTTTCCAACAACAAACCTGAATGATTTCCCATATTTACACCAAACCCTCATCAAATTCCAACCTACAGCAGCCAGCCAGCCATCTGCCCCTGTACAGGTGCTTCTTCACCCTGCAGCCTGCAGGGCAGAGACTAGCCGACTCCAGGCAGCTGCTATTGCTATTTGCAGGGCCCTAGCTGCTGCTTCCTTACTGTTTGGCTGTTATTCTCAGGAGTGGGGTTAACTTCGGACAGCGGCATGCTGTTAGCACCCCCGTCCACCGATGGCCTAGATGCCACCTGATTCTCCTGGTCGGCCTCATGTCTAGGAGCCTCTGATAACCTTGACGAGTGCCCGGTGCCGGCAAACAGGCACTGGCATGGATCTGATGCTGACGGTTCAGGAGAGCTTGGAGGGCTGATCACCACCACACTGGGTAGCGGAGGAGGAGGAGCAGTGTGCTCGCTGTCAGGGTTATCGAGCAATGAGACTCTACAGACGGGGCAGGTCGAGTTCTGCTCCAGCCATAAATCTATACAGGCCATGTGTAAATCATGGCCACAGTGAGGAAGAACGCGTAGCACATCCCCCTCTTCGTATTCTGCGAGACAAATGACGCACCTGCCAGAAAACGATGTGAACAGTTCAGTGACTAGTGCCATCAAAGACGGTTGCTAAAGAATTATCAATAGGGAACAGAAATGAAAATCAGCAATTTTCACTTTGATGCGAGAATAGGATGCCAGGCATGGTTACTACTCTCTTTGTTTAAGAATGGAACGCTCTATGACTCAGACTGAAACTGTTTTCCCTCCACGTTTTACCATCAGATGGTTTGTGTTCTCATGTAAACTCAGTGAAGCTATAGAAAACCAAAGGCACGTAAATATGATACAAACCAACTTGTGCAGAGTAATACAGGCACCAAGTTGAGAACTCTTGGGGTGAAATATCTAGTTCTGACAGTGACAAAAAATTTAAATTCACGGTTCAGTATTCAGCCAGAATACTTGTAATCTGATTCCTGTTTCACTTCATCAGGCACCGCAAGTGAGGTTAACCTACTCAATAACAATGCCTAATGACCCATCTTCTTCATGAACAGTTAACACCCATACCCCATTTTGATGTCATGTGATTGATCAAGTGGTCTTAGCTGTTCAGTAACAATGCAAGCTGAGGGACATCATGATTCCATTGTCAATCTCCTGCGAAGCACAACAATCAGTACACTTGTACTAAAAAAAAACTGCACCGCCACTGTATTTAGGCACCGAAGTCATCAAGGACAAGGCACCAACATCCTCAAGGACAGCTTCTTTGGTACTGAGAACGCAATCAACATCCTCACTGACAACCCTTTCGGTGCCAAAAGGCTATCTCCTATCGTGGCAAGGACATCTTCATGATTCCCAGCAGCATTAAGCAAGCACAGAGGCACAGTGCACAGGTTTGGCAAAGTGTTGGGAAAACACCTAATAATACGGTAAAAACACTAATTAACAGGAGGTAAGTTTATTCGTGATTTCCCATAAGTTTGTTTCGGTTATTGAAATCAGTCAAAACATCATTTCCACATACTGATGAGGATGCAGTAGAACTTGTGTTAACTTATATAGTGCTACAGTCTAAGGTCAGACTAACATTCACATTCAACAACTAATATCAGAACTGTCATTAAAAAAACAACTACATATCAGAATCATTTCACATTCTCAGTCCTACTCCCACCCCCAGAACAGTCAACACTCAACAGTCAACAGTATCTACGGCCGACAAACATTAATACAAGCAGACAAGCATAACAGCATGATCTCATTTCTGTAAGCACTGACAGTAACACTGATACCAGCCAGAACACCTAAGAATTCCCAATCGGCCAATGTTATTATTTCTGCAAGGGGAGGGGGGAGAAGGGAGGGAGATCCCGTTCCCCACCCACCCAAGGGCGCCCTCGCAACTACAAGGAGCAGCAGCGCCCCAAATGTGTGACAGGACCGACGAACGAACCAACGAACGCGCCCACCGCGCGGCGCGCGGCACGTAACCGACTGGACCCCGCCGACGCGAACCGACCCCGCCTGACCGCACGCCAGATTGCACGGGACGGGACGCTACAGCTACAGGAGCGAGGAGGTGGCGTACGGACGCAGGCTGGGACCGCCGATCGCCGGGCAGAGGAGGGGTACTTACTGTGAATCGGCATCGGAGGCGCCGGAGCCGCGGGGTCGGGCGGCGAAGGCGCGGGTGGGGAGGGCGGCGACCGCGGCGGGACCGAGGCCCCCGCCGCCGACGGCGGCGGTAGCGGCGGCACCGGCCGTGGGGTGGAGGACCTGGACGACGGCGAAGGTGTAGTCCACCGCGTACCGCGGGAGGGCGGCGGCGAGGCGTGAGCGGGCGCGGCGGCGGTGGCGGCGGAGGAGCGCGCAGGCGAGGCGGGAGCAGACGAAGGCGATGAACATGAGGCTGAAGCAGAAGCCCGCCAGCGCGAGCGCCATGCTCGGCGACACGCCGGACGCCATCCCGCCCCGCGGGGAGGCTTTCGCCCCTTCCCCTCCTTAGTCGGGGCCTCACGCCCGCCTCCCTCTCCGCTGGGTTCCCTGCCTCCCTGCCGCCTGCTAGCGCCGCTGCCGCAGCATCTGCGGGGGCGGGGAGGTGTGGGTGTGGGGACTTTTGTGGTGGACTGGACTGCTCGGCTGGTGGGCCGTGTCGATGCGGTGCGCAGTCGATACGATAGCTAGCCTGCTACTCGGATGCTGTTGCCTTCGCGTCCGCGCCGCCTGTTTCTGTGGCCTGCGCGCCTCGCTGCCGTGCCGTGCCCACTTGGCGAGTTCCGCCCTTTCAGTTTCAGGGCGGGGCGGCGAGCAGTCGGCAACGGGCGCACTAGCGGGAAAGAGAGAACGAGCGGCCGGCGTGTGTCCGCCGCCCCCGAACCCGCCGCGGCGACGGCTGCGGACACGGAAATGACGACGCGCCGTGCATTTGTCAATTCTTTTTTTCAAGGGTTAATCGAACTATGCCATTACAATTTGTATGGCTGCGACGACGCGGCCGTGCATTTGTCAATTCCTTCGGGTTAATCAGAACTATGCCATTACAATTTATATGGCTGCGAGAAACGTCATTACTATTTATCTATTTTGAAATATACCATTACAATTCCAGTTCTTCTTGAAATACGCCACGCTCTATGTCTAACGTTGCCCTGAGCCCAGCTGCAGGCTAATACCCACATACGGTATTTCTGTATGGATTGTAATGCCCCTTTCTTCTTCCTCCTCCCCTCTCTCTTGCTTGCTCTCAGATCCCGTCTGTAACCTCCATACAACCACACATGCTAGGTTGTGGCGGCGCGGGGTGCACGCGTGGGTGACGCCGAGACGCGACCTGCGCAGGAGTGGCGGGCAGTAGTGCAGGCATCTGAGCGCGCGGCGGCGACGCACGGGTGAAAGTCGGGCTATGGCGGCGCGGGGCGCACGCGTGGGCGACGCCGAGGCGTGGTCTGCACAGGAGTGGCGGCAGTAGTGCAGGCATCTGAGCGCGCGGTGAGGCCACGACGATGGCTGCTTGGGTGCACGGGAGGCACGGACCCTGTGTCGGATTGGTTGAATAGGCACATCGGAGTTCATGCCTTCACGTTATAGCACCGGAGGTGTATGAGTAGTTGAGTACAACGGGCTGGACATCTACTTATTTGGGATGTGCGTGCTGAGCTCTCGGAGGTACATTGAGCGGAGGATGAGGTCACGACGGGGAGGCGCGGCTGCGGCGGCTGAGGTCACGATGGGGAGGCGCGGCTGAGGTCATGACGCGGAGGCGTGGCTGTGCGGGGCCGCGTATGTCGTTCCCGCAGCTAATCCCTGATCCGCGCCCCACTGACATACATCGACGCGCCATATGTCCAGGCGAGCGTGCGGAGTGGTGAGTGCTTGGAGACGACGAGAGGCGGGCGGCACAGTCGCACGGATGAGGAGGCAGGCCGGGACGGTTGCCACAGCGCTCCGCATCCACGGAGCAGCGTGTGGTATGGTGGCCTAGCGTGTGGCGGCATGCGGCGCGGCTAGAGAATCGACCTGCGGTAAGCTGGCATACGGACATCGTTCGACGTGTGGCGCGGAGACAACTTGAGTGGCCAGAACGACAGCGTCGACGGCCGGTGCGGGCAAGAGACAGAGGAAGAAGAACGACAGGAAAGAGAAAGGGACATAGGGCCCACTTGTAAGTGAGAAGGAGAGACGAGGAACCAGGGTAGTTTGGTCCATACAAACTGCATAGTGCTGTAGCTGGGTCCGAGGTCTCACGAGGTGTAGAGCATGGTGTATTTCAGAGAGCGCTAGAATTATAATGGCATATTTTAATATGGCGTTTCTTGGAACCATGAAAATTGTAATGTTATCATTCTAATTAACCCTATTTTTAAAGAGACTTGTATTTGTCAACTTGGGTGTAGTGCAGCCCAGGATCTTTGCGTAATAGCGTGCACAGCGTTTGCTCGGCGGAACATTAGTGGTAGTAGTAGTAGTGCAGTGAACGGAAGAACAGCGCGTAAGTTCGGATAGGATTACGCCAGCCAAACGAAAGCAAAGCAAAAAAATCAAAAAATGAAAAACAAAAAAGAGCTACTCCCTCCGTCCCATTGAGTTTGTCGTTGGAAAACCGTGCCCCCCTCACAATCCCGCTTCCCGAGCGACAATCTTAACGGGACGGAGGGAGTATATATATAAAAAATGGAGATGCGGGGTATCGATCCCCACGCCTCTCGCACGCTAAGCGAGCGCTCCACCATTTGAGCTACACCGCATGACTGTACTTAGTGCCTAATAACCCACACTAAAATTACTTCTGCAAAGATGACATTGTCACCATACCATATATGGGCTGAATTGGTCAATTAGTTGATGCGATTTGGCCCACATGGATCCACTTGAGCTTTTATTAGATCGTTGGGCTGGGCCTCCTTTCGTATTTAAAAAACAAGCACTGGCAGCAAACGCAGTCCTGTGTGTACTCTTGGACCTCTTGCCGACAGAGCACATGGATTCTACTACTAACAAAAAATGGAAAGCATCATGTTGTAGCGGCTGATGCAGCCCGGATGCATCTGTGACGACCTCACGTTTTGATCTTGTTATGCTCCGCTCAAAAGTCAGACCTGAGCGGGGATGGGGAGCCCTGCTGGTGGGTTCCTCCTCTCCATCGTGTTCGTGTGCACACACAACGTATGGGCATTCTGAAACACATGGCTACCTATTTGGTTGCCTGTCCACTGTCGAGTGGATACAATTTACATACATGACGGACACACGGGATCGATACGGTTCGAATGAGCTTTAATAATCATCTATCCATCCTGTTGGATAGATAGATGACCACCGGTGATGAGAGGAGGGAACACAACACAAGCTGCTCTCACCTGCGGGGGCTACGGAGAGAACCCAGCGTTGGCTGGCCTGGCCCAGTGGCCCAATCGGCCATCGGTTCGGCTGATTGGTTGGTCCACTCGCTTCTTCTTGTCTCGGCTCTTCCGCTTGGACCCGGACAAATCCAACCAAGTCCCACCGGTTCGAAAATCTGGGCTCCCCCCGCCGCTCTTCTCTTGTCTGCCATTCGTCTCGTCCTCACCGGCTCTGTTCGGCTGTTATAAATTGACGGGCTGGGCTGGTCAATCACCTGATTTAAATCAGCCCACCGTCAGCCAGTCAACCAGCTGCTGCTACAACTATTTGAATGTACTTATTTCAAATCAAATTCTGGCGCTAATAAACCAAAGTTGGCGCCAACCAACAGACTCGTTCAAATACACGTCCGACAACAAGTATCAACATTAACACATACAAGTTAGTACCAACCAGTTCTAATACCATTTCATTACATCTCACTCAAATGTGCTTCCAAGGCCATTGAAATAACACTTCATTACAACAGCAGTACAAGCTAAACCAATTTACAGGCATTACAATAGCTCATTGGATTTCCTAAGATCCAATTACAACAATTCATTATAGCAGTACATACCTCAGTTATCCATAACACTACTACTTGAAGGATTACGGGAGCATTTACAAAACTTGTAGGAGTTGCACAAAACATTTGCAACACCTACAGAAACACGCGCATTCTAATATGAGCATGTACTCTATATACATCAACCTACATTGCCATACAATCCTACTATTTTCAATTCCTACCATTCCTCTACAGGTAACAAATGTCCTAAGTGGATTCTATACAAAATTGGGAGGATTGTCTGGCGGACATCCAAAGTGCTGGTCGTTTGTCGGCGGACATCCAAAGTGCTGGTCGTTTGCCGGCGGACACCCCGTTTTGAGCAGTTTGCCAGAAGACACTCTGGTTCTATGAAATTAGGCCACATGACACCGCGGACCGGTTGCAGCCGGTTGAGGAGAGAGAACAACGATGAAATAACATTCTTGCCCCTGCCGCTTTCTTCTTCCTCTCTTCCTTTCTCTTTTTTCTGTTTCCTGTCCCCGCCACCCTCTCAGCCTCCCGCACCCGCCATCGCGAATCACGCCGTCGCGGGCGGTTGCACCTCCGACGCCCGCGCCTCCAGCGGCCCGCTTCGACGCCGCACCCCAGCCTCGCGCCTCCAGTGGGCCGCGCCTCCGGCGCCCGGGCCCGCGCCTCCGAATTCCTTGGCTCCGCACCGGAGACCGCACCTCCAACGTCCGTAGCCTAGCGCCCGCGCTCCGGCCTCGCGCCTCCTATGGAGCGTCGCGGCCCTGCGTGCTCAGCGGCCACGCCCCCACCCTGCGTCGATGAGCCACGCTCCGACGGTCGTGCCCTGTAGGCCGACGTGCACGTGCTCCCTCCCCTACTCTCTCTCTCTCTCAGTGGACCGCAACGGCATGATGCACGACGGCGGTGCGCGGGCGAGGGGTGACGCGCGGCTGGCTAGGCCACGGGCCACGACATGGCGGCGGTGCCGAGTAGGTCCCCCGGCGCGACGCAAATGGCCTACAGTGGTAGGGTAGGAGGGCGGCGACAAGGAAGGGGCCGTGGGAGGTGGGGCAGAGCCGGCTCGCGCCGGGTGGCGATAGGGTAGGGTTGGCATGCAGGGCGTGGGCGCGGACACCGCGGCGCTCCTATCGCCGACAGCAGTAGCGAGGGCTACTGCTCGCACGTGGCGCTCGTGGTCACAACAGAGGCTCGCCAGCTTGCCCGCAAGCCCGCATGGCTGCGGCTGTGGCAGCTCGCCTGCTCGTCCGTGCGCCTACGTGGCCGGGGCTAGTCGACAGCGGTGGCTGCTGCTCAGCAATAGAAGAAGAGAAGAGGAGGAGGAAGAAGATGATAGGTGGGGCCCGCGCGTCAGTGAGAGGGAGAGGGGGTGGACCCAACTGTGGCTCAGGGGCACCGGATGTCCAAAACGAAATTTTCTCTCTCCTCAACCGGCTGCAACCGGTCCGCGGTGTCCTTTGGCCTAATTTTCCTAAACCAGAGTGTCTTCTGGCAAACTACTCAAAACAGGGTGTCCTCCAGCAAACGACCATCACTTTGGATTTCC